TATTTAATAGTTTATGCAAAGTGGAACAGTTGCAACAGAAAAGACCGAGGGCAGCCCACCCCAGAGTAGTCTGTGTAGCACAGTGGGTGGGGTGTTCACCAGGGAGGGGGTCAATCTGAGCTCAGATCTCTGCTCCAGAGTCATGATTCCGTCTCCCCCATCCCAGGCAACAGTTTCGGGTTGACCGAAACTACATTTTTTTGGCAACAAAAAAAACCCTCTTCACCCAGCTCTAGCCCTGAGCTTTGTGACACTAAGGACCTCTTGCATTTTGCAAGAAAAATGTTGTCAACACCAGCATCTGGGCCATTCCGCTTTGGGACATTGCTTCCCTAAATTCCACCTGTGGCTTCCTTTTGTAAACACGCTTTGCACTCCCCCATCCTCAGCCGCTCGGTAGCGTTGCTGAGCGCTGTTAAACAGCTGCTGCGTTCCACCCCCGAGATGGCTGCGCTTCAGCAGTGCATGATGTTAAGGATTCTTATTTAAAGTGAATCCTATAGATAGTTGGCAAAGGTGCTAGTAAATTTTGCCCAGTGATGATGGGACACGCACCCACTTTAAGGTGCCCTAACGCTGCCAGATGTGTACACGTGAGAATCTGGCCCCCGATGTATTTCAACACCAAGGCTACATGATCAGTTACAGAGGGCTTTGTAGCCCACCGGGGTGTGTGCACCACAGCTCGCCCCTCTGCCAGTCTAGAGAGGATCCTAGTTGTGACAACTGCAGCTACAGAGCCTTGGCTTGTTAGCTCAAGCTGTAGCAGCTTGTTCCTTTAGCTCTGAAAGTTCCCACTTCTCTCCCCGGGGTTGGCCAAAAAGGAGCCATCATGGTCCGTTACTGACCTACAGCATTGAGGTGGATCGGACGTAACACAGTCTCTAAAGAAGCAATTGGATCCCATCCCATTAGTTGACCCTTGAAATCTAGCACAAATTGGCTCCCTCCCCCATAAATTTATTTACTATTAAGTTATTTTTCCCCTTTTATTTTTCTAGGTCTGGATTTGTTTACCTTCCTTCAAAGTGAAAATCAGGTAAGGTTGGGGGGCGCTGTCTCTCTCTCTCTCTTTTCTTTCTTTCTCTCTTTTTTTTTTTTTTCCTTTTCCTCTCTGGCAAATCTGTAGACCAGTAACCCTGTCCTTTTCCTCTCAGCCAATCCTCCGCCTCCTCCACTGTAGCAATCTGGGCCTGATGTGGCCAACGTTCACATGGCCAAGCATGGCCACGTGCCTTTAGGTTCCATTGCTGTTGCCTGGAATGGTCCATGTGCTGTCTGTGGCTTGGAATGCTGGATTCTTGCTTTCGATACATGACTCTTCTTTCCCTTATTTGCACCTGTATTCTTCACCCTGCCTCACTGCTCCAGGTTCTGGAAGGGGGTAGGGCGCTGAGTTGAAAATGTATCGCATACCTGCTAGTGAATCTGGACAAACGTGCAGTGCAGTTTACAAAGTGGGCGTATATATATATATTTTTTTGTTAACCCGGGACTGCTCTCTGCCTGCCTGGCATTTGATCCTTTCACAGGTGACTCAGGGCAGAGCTGGTGATTGAGCTAGCTAGACATACCTTCTTCTGACTTAGGGGAGCTTGGAGCGCGATTTCCTTTCAGAGCTGGTACAATAGGCTCCTTTCACGTTCCTGGGCCGTGTCTCGCCACCCCTGCGTGTCTCCTGTTCAGATGCGCCATTCTAACCTGCCATGGCGGGCCGGCGACAGCAAAGCCCAAGCTTTCTGGCGGGTTATACCACATGGGAAGCAGCTGGCTCGGGTGAAGTCTTGGTAAACTGGTACAGTTCTCCCAAATTTCAGGAGCATCACTTGTGACTCAACTCTTCCCTTCCCCCCCTCTCTTGGTAAATCTGTTGCTTTGCAGTGATATCTGTTCCCCTTGCTGACTGGGCACCGCCAGCGCTCTAAGCACCCAAGGGGGTTTGGGAGGGGGGAGGTGTTTGAATGGGTGCCCAGCCTGACGATTGATGCCCTATTCCTTGCCTGGCAGCACTACAGCCCTTCCGTGATCACCTCCCTGGATGAACAGGACGCCCTGAGCCATTTCTTCCAGTACCGAGGCACATCTACCCATTTCATGAACCCCCTGGCTCCCGTCATGGCAGGATCCCACAACAGCATCAGCCCCGGCAGCGGGCGCATCAGCAGTATTGTCTCCACCAACACGCTGCGGGAGAGCCATGGGCACAGCGGGACAATGAGTAACAGCACGGCTCTCCCGGGCTGCAGGCCGGACATCATTTCCTTAGACTAGCCCCAGACCCAGGCCACGCTGGCATCTCGTTTCCCCCCAAGGATGGGGGAGAGAAGCAGACTTTCAGCAGCTGCTGTTGAGTTGGGTTTTTGTCTGGGATGGAAAGGACCCAGCCAATAACAGGTCTCCTAAGTGTGTGTCTCGGTCAGGGCAACTGCCCCGTTATGTCCAGGCTTGGAGCCTCACAGGCGGGGCTTTCAGTTATGCACGCGCTCGCCTGAGCATACTGGTCCCGCTTGCTGGGGGGTGCCGGTGGGCAGGGGGTAAATGCTAACCTCTGTTTTTCAAGACCATTTTAAAACTGTTTTTAACTTTATTTTTTGGTAGGATTCCGCACAAAGATCCTACAGTGATAAATCCCCACCTTGTGCTGTCCTGTTAGAACAGCACCATCTAGTGGCCAAAGCAGGACTTATCAGCCAATCCCCCCTGGGGTGTCACCTTCTGCATCCCTTTGCACCACACCACTGCTGACTCCCGGAGTGGGGTGAAGAGAGAAACTTGTCTGAGTTCAGCAACCCTCTAGGCATGGATGGAAGGTGGGTGGGTGTCTTTCAGGGAGCTGCCCGCTGCTTTTATGCACCGACACAAGCACTTTGGCAGTAGGGATTGATCTGGGCTCCTCGGGCATTCTTGACTCCTTGATCCTCTTCTCTGCTCCCCCTCCTTCCCTGGGGAGTCTGCCCTCCCAACCCTGGGTTAGAGCAAAGAGCTGGTGACTCAGAAAGAGGCTAGCAAACTTCTGCTTCCAGCTACCCGGCTGGGCCGAGACCCTCTGCTGTCCGAGGCTTTAAATAACCAAATGGGCAGGAAAACGGATTCATAGATTCTAGGACTGGAAGGGACCTCGAGAGGTCATCGAGTCCAGTCCCCTGCCCGCATGGCAGGACCAAATACTGTCTAGACCATCCCTGATAGACATTTATCTAACCTACTCTTAAATATCTCCGGAGATGTTATAACTGAGCCCTGATTCCAAACCCCATCCAGCAAATATGGACATTCCCCAGCAGAGCCCTAGCCACGGCGCGGAGGGCGAATCTGCAGCCTACGTGCACTTAAGTGTTCCCATTAAGCAGGTGAGCAGTTGGGGCTCCCTCCCACCTTGCCCTCGATTGTATGCTCCAAAGCAACATACAAACTCAGCTCTACTGAGCGAATCCGTTCTCCAAACCCCGGTGCAAACCTCCCGTGTGTGTAACCGAATGTGCTAGTGGGTGAGAACCAGAAAGAGAAACTGATCGATCTCTTTTCTCCTTGAAAACGGATTTTTTTTTAAATGTGTTTTTTTTTTAAATTGAACAACCTGTGGCATTACGAGTAGCGCAGGAAAGGAAACGTTAACTTCTTAATTATGAATGTTCATCACCCACAGTCCCTTTAAAGTCAGCCATTTCCTGGCTGCTGTTTTAGTTTTGTGTCCTCATTACGACTTCCTTTTGTTTTTTTTTTTGTAGTAAGAATCAAGGCAAAAAGCGGA